CGATGAAATACCTGTAAATGAGCCGCTAAGCGGCGAGACCTGAAGGTCTAGCTTTATAAAGTATGATTTGAATTTATTTTTGCATTAATCCTGCTGTGTTGTTGTCAAAATGTCAGTTGTCACCATTTTTAAAAGAAGTTAAATGACCCGGTAGCACATGGTAGCATGGTAGCACCTCCAGTTCTTCAAAAATAAATAATTATTGAATAACCCATGATGTTGTCAAAATGTCAGTTGTCACCATTTTTAAAAGAAGTTAAATGACCTGGTAGCACATGGTAGCATGGTAGCACCTCCAGTTCTTCAAAAATAAATAATTATTGAATAACCCATGATGTTGTCAAAATGTCAGTTGTCACCATTTTTAAAAGAAGTTAAATGACCTGGTAGCACATGGTAGCATGGTAGCACCTCCAGTTCTTCAAAAATAAATAATTATTGAATAACCCATGATGTTGTCAAAATGTCAGTTGTCACCATTTTTAAAAGAAGTTAAATGACCTGGTAGCACATGGTAGCATGGTAGCACCTCCAGTTCTTCAATAATTAATTATTTTTGAATAACCCATGATGTTGTCAAAATGTCAGTTGTCACCATTTTTAAAAGAAGTTAAATGACCTGGTAGCACATGGTAGCATGGTAGCACCTCCAGTTCTTCAAAAATAAATAATTATTGAATAACCCATGATGTTGTCAAAATGTCAGTTGTCACCATTTTTAAAAGAAGTTAAATGACCTGGTAGCACATGGTAGCATGGTAGCACCTCCAGTTCTTCAATAATTAATTATTTTTGAATAACCCATGATGTTGTCAAAATGTCAGTTGTCACCATTTTTAAAAGAAGTTAAATGACCTGGTAGCACATGGTAGCATGGTAGCACCTCCAGTTCTTCAATAATTAATTATTTTTGAATAACCCATGATGTTGTCAAAATGTCAGTTGTCACCATTTTTAAAAAAAGTTAAATGACCTGGTAGCACATGGTAGCATGGTAGCACCTCCAGTTCTTCAAAAATAAATTATTTTTGAATAACCCATGATGTTGTCAAAATGTCAGTTGTCACCATTTTTAAAAGAAGTTAAATGACCTGGTAGCACATGGTAGCATGGTAGCACCTCCAGTTCTTCAAAAATAAATAATTATTGAATGACTGGGAAATAAATTTACGTCAAATATGCAATTTATAAAATCTTATGTCGACAGGCTACGTAGCACAGTGGTCTAAGGTGGTGTTATGGAGGGGTCAGAGTCTGTGATTCGAACCGCGACAGCGCCGTATTTTCTTATTTTCTTTATTTGTCTTGTTTGTCGTGAATAAAAAGTATCATAAAAGTGCTCTATCTTCCACGGGAATACATAAAAAATTTACTTTATTTCTTCTTTATTTCTTCTTTATTTCTTTGTTCCCGTGGAAGAAGGGTTTTACTGTTTTTTCTCAGCCGAAATCAACGATTTTTTCATTTTTGGAATCCTTAGCGAATGAGGAATCTTTTCTCTCGTGGAAGCTTTGACCAAAAATATAATTTAGGTGAAGAGGTGAGATGTCACCCGTTTTTTCACCTGTTTTCTCACCCTAGTTATTTTATAAACGTTTCACATGGTAAACGTTATTTTTTTTAAATTTTGTGAAAACTCAACGGTTTGACACAAGCCCTAAAAATTATTTTACTCAGAATTTTGTTGCTGAATTCAATAAAAATAATGTTTAGGTGAAGTGGTGAAATCTCACCTCTTTTTTCACCTCTTTTTTCACCTCTTTTTTCACCCCAGTTTTTTCACAAGCGTTTTACATGAATTGTACGATGTATATTTGAAATCCTAAACAATTTCGTAGCTTCTATTTCTTCTGTCAGTATGTCAAAAGTTTTAACAATACCGAAAGTCTCTTTATACTTCTTCTTGACATCAGATAGAAGGAAATCTTCTGCTGTTGGATAGTTTTTGTTCAGAAATTCTAACATGTTCATTTTATCTTCTGCTGGCTTTTCTGCTTCTTTCTTTAAGTCTGCATAGTCGTTTCGCATTCTTTCTATCTCTTTGACTGAGTAGTTATATTTCCTAATTGCTGCCTTACATTTTGAACATTGCGGGTTCATTTTTGCGTTATATTCTGAAACCTTACCTGCTAGAACAACTAAGGTGTCAATTGCTCTCTTCATCTCAAACATAGCGGGTCTTATCTGTTCATTCCATACCTTACCTCTTCTATCTTTATCTCTTATCTGCCATACACATTCTGCAACTAATGAAACAAAGTTATCGTAAGTCTTAAACTCCTCAGATTTATATATGTCAGAAATGTTTTTATATACCATATCGCAATCTTTGTCCATAACTTTATGGTTGCAATGAAAACCAAGGAATTCATAATTTACTTTACGTATGAACTTCTTTATTTCTACTGAGTCAGTTGTTTTGACTTCAATTTCGTCGAATTCAGGAATAGTGAGTTTTTGATGCTGAATTTCAGGTAGTTTAGGTAAATGGTCAATAATGTCCTGCATTTCATAAAGATACTGTTCATTTGTTTCATCTTTCGCACTACAGTCTAAATTACTTGTTAAAAGTTCTTGCTTTATCTTCTGGATTTTTGTTTCGAAAGTAAATGAAGAAGGAATGAAGCTTTTCATTTCTACTAACATTGACGTAGGATTCATGACTAACGAGTTTGGTGAAGTTGTTGTGGACAGAGTCCCGCCGTTCGCGGCTTGAATTGTTGTTGTGCCGATTGTTGAAATCATATCTTTTATACAAAATAAAAAATAAATAAAAATAAAATTAGCGTTATTTTTTCTATCTTAAGGAAATTCACGAAAATTCAAGAGGTGAAAAAAGAGGTGAAAAAAGAGGTGACATCTCACCTCTTCACCTATAATATATTTTTTGGTGAATTCAATAAAAATAAGCCGCTAGCGGCAAGGGCGAAGCCCATGAGTTCATTTACTCACAATATTTTTGTACAAAACGACCCCAAACTTTTAACTTCTTTTCTGCAGCTTCAAATGCTATCTTAGCGAGTTCATATTCTCTAAATTCTCTCTTTAAATCTTCTTGTTCCCATTGGTCTAGTTCGTATGGAGAATCTCTATAACCATAATATATCTCACGTTCATGTTCTAATTGTTTTTCACACATTTTTCCAACTTCTTCTTCGAACAAAGGTTTAGCATTCTCCACTGTATCTTCGAGTTCTTCTTCATCTAACTTCTCATGAACTTTCTTGTCTATGGAGTCCATAATATCTTTGACATAAAATGCATACTTTACAGAGCACCATTCAGCAACAAAATGAACGAGGTCAGCATGTATGTAAATACCTTTGAATTCATTCATAACGCCCTTAGTAAGCTCATAAAATGCTTGTTTTGAGGTTGAGCCACTTTTGGCTCGACCGTATTCTTTCAACCAAAACTCAAGAATTTCCTGCATTTTAGCACTATTGAGAAATCTGTTTAAATGGTTTAACTTTCCTGCTTCTCTCGCCATCTTTGTTGCATTAATGTAACCATCCTTGTCTCTACGTAAGACTTCAATACCATTATAAGTGCCTTTTGTGAATGTTTCACCATTAGATTTGTTCGTGAATGTTTTTGCTTCGACTGACATTTCTGTTCTTACATACAAAATAAAAAAATATTTTATAAAAAATTAGCGTTATTTTTTCTATCTTAAGGAAATTCACGAAAATTCAAGAGGTGAAAAAAGAGGTGAAAAAACGGGTGACATCTCACCTCTTCACCTAAACATTATTTTTGGTGTAAATTTATGAAAACATTAATAATTTCATGACTGTTCTCATTCATGTCTGATTTACATCCAACGAAAAAGTTTAGAAGAATTTTCTTATTCTTTCTGGCATGTTTTTATCTTTCCAGTACTCCCGCTCTAATGGTCCCAGATGAGTTGGTTTAAATTCTCTCAAGTTCTTAGATGGTATAACATCTTCAACGCCTCCTTCATATCTTACTTTATAAGTGTCATCGTTTGTGTTATAGCCAAGTATTTCAATAACCACTCCTCGCTTTGCTTCGTCAATGGTTTCAGCAAGTTTGCCATTACTACTTTCAACTAACTTATGTCGAGGGTAAAACGCTATGGAGTCGTCAGCAGCTTTTATAAGATATCCATTACCTTGCGTAGAGTCTACGATATAATAGTTTCTACTTAACCTTAAACGTTTCTTTGTCAATGGTTTGTCGTCAAGAACTACACGAACTTTTGTACCAGGAATGAGGGTAAATTGTGTTGAATTTCTGATATTTTGTGTTTGGCTTCGTTTCTTTTGTATATACTTTTCTTCTTGTTGTTGTGTCATTGAATTTGGTGTATGTCCTGTTGTAGAATGTGTTGAGGAATTATATACTTCGAGAAAATGTTTCATTGTTTCTTCGGTAAAGTCTCGCTCTTGATTTAAATCTCTGAGAGTCCTTATGAAGCGGTTTATGATGCCGAGTATGTTATGGTTATGGTCTTCAGTAGTGTAGTGAGTTATGTTATGCTTAATGAGAAAATCTGTGATTTCATTGCTGAGGTATGCACTGTCTTGGTCTGATGTTAAAGTACTTGGGTTATGTTCTGCTACAAACTTTTGTAAAACTCTTAACACTTCATGAGTTCCTTTATTCCTCATTGGATATGCATATGCTTTACGAGTGTTAACATTAATGAAGATGAGGAATGGTTTATGTCTTCCTTTTCTGCTTTGAATGAGAGTGTCAAATTGGTATGCGTCAGGAGTGTTGGAGTAAATTGGTAAAAAGTAGTCGTAAGGGTTTATTTTTGTTTGATGTACAACATTTTTGTCAAAGAACCTTTTCACTTCAACTCTGTTAGTAAATCCCCAACTCTTTGCAGCTTCATTGAATTTCTTAAATGACCTCCATGGATGTTGTTCGAATACTTCTTTCAAGCTCATTTATGTAAAGTTAAAGATTTTAACCAACTCGTATCCAAGCGTGCATTGTTATATAAGGAGGCATATAATCTTTTCCATTACCTGCTGGGTCTGTAATACCAGCTACAACATGTGTATGATTTCCTGCAGTTCCACAGAAAATACCTGTGCTAACATCTTTGGGGTCAGTTGTGATATCATATCTATGCATTCCCTGTCTATCCGAACCCGCTGCAAGATTTGTATAACCTCTTTTTGTTATTGAATGTGAATGGTTTCCTTCCACAGATGTTCTTCCACTGAACCTATGCATATGTGAAGGAAGGTTTTCAATACCTATTTTCTTTGAACCTCCCATCTTCATTGACTGAGTATTAGTGTAGAATGGAAAACTGTCAACTATTTCATACCATCTACCACCAAATAAAGTGTTTGGATTTATTGGATTCATAGACGTATAAACAGCTCCTATAGGATATATTAAATCATATATGCTCATAACTCTATAAACATATTCTAAAGAACTTATGTCATTAAATACCATTTGGAATGTATCTCCCGGATGAAATGTTGCATTTGTTCCACTTTTATAATGTAATGTTAGTTCAATAGAATTATCCAAGAAAAATTCAAAAGTATCTGGTTGAAGACCTCTAACAAATTCAAATGGAGTTGCTGGTTCACCATTTATAATTTCTGTTGTAAATGTCATTGTATCTGGTTTCGAAAATTTCTTTGATAGTTCTTCATCTACATAAGTTTTGTCGGCTTTACTGTCTAACATTGCTGGTAGTTCATGTGTTTCAAAGTTTCTGACATGACCTTCGATATTCATACATTTACTATTTAAGGAGTTTAGTGTATCTTTTACGCTTGTACTTGGATTCTCTAAAGGTGCACTTGAACCAAGGTCAAAGTTCAATATTATGTCGTCTGCTCTAACAGTAGTGAAGGATTTATGTGTATGGTTCTTGTCGGCTTTCTTATCATATAAATCTTGAGCAGTGAATTTAACATTATTTTCATCCTCCATGACATAAACATTTCTACATCTAATGTATTTCATCGTCGTTATGTTTTCCTCCGATGTTAAACCTTGTGGAAAGTTAGGAGGTTTCCAATATAATGCATCCCCACCAGTTCCTTCAACCGTTCCTTCAATACTTTCTATACCAACAGTTGTGAAGAAATCATGTGTATGGTTCTTATCTGCTTTCTTATCTAACATTGCTGGTAGTTCATGTGTTTCAAAGTTTCTGACATGACCTTCGATATTCATACATTTACTATTTAAGGAGTTTAGTGTATCTTTTACGCTTGTACTTGGATTCTCTAAAGGTGCACTTGAACCAAGGTCAAAGTTCAATATTATGTCGTCTGCTCTAACAGTAGTGAAGGATTTATGTGTATGGTTCTTGTCGGCTTTACTGTCTAAAGAAGTTTGAAGTTCATTTATATCGGAGATGTTGTGTTTATGAGATTTCAAAACTTTGTTCATTGCGTCAAGTTCATCTTTGTCAGCTTTACTTTTAATAGCATCTTCAAACGTTATTTTTGACTTAACTCTCAAAGTAAATCTTGGTTCAACTAATACACCATTAACATTGAAAGTAGAGGCATAAATTTCACCGGTATAACCAAATGCTTCTGGTGCTTTAGCTACATCATACTGTACAGTACAGCTTATGTCATAACCTTTAGCACGAATGTATTTATATCTTCTTTCATTAACATTTTTTGTCTTCGCTTCATCACTTCGTGTTAAATATCCATGGTAGTCCGTTATAATCTGTTCGTCTGAAGTTATATAATGAACGTGGTTCTTGTCCGCTTTTTCGGCTAATTTCTCATTAACATCATTCACTTCTAATTCAACTCTTCCGCCAGAACTCTTATTATCATTAATCTTTTTCATTAATTCGGTAATTACGTCATAAAGACTATATTCTGTTTTCGGTTTTGTAAATAATGAGTCAAAATTTCTTTTCATCATTACATCGCTGACATTAATGATATCACCAATTCCTTTTTCATTTATTCTCTTCATTAATTCTGCAATAATGACGAATATATAATCTGTTAATTTATTCTCTTCATCGAGGGTTATAGAATGTTTTGAAATTGAATCATTAACTCCTCTAAATAAATCAATAACTTCAGGATACACGTTTTTAATGTCTTGAATAACCCGACCAGTATCCTCGCCACTATGTGGCTCTGAGCCCGTTGGGCTCTGTTGTTCATGTTCTTCGTTCCCGTCGTTACGTGGTTTTATATCTCTAACCATCATCAACGCAGCCATAACCGGAGGGTTTGTTGCTACCTGTTCGAAAATCCGTCCGTTATGTATGGTATATCTAAATAATTTCTTTGTGTTTGTTAAAACATTTGAAACAAGTCTTTTAAACCATCTACAAAATTTCCTGTTTCACCTAATGTTCTTGCAGCATTTACAAGCTCACCCATTCCCGCTTTTGACCCAAAAACGTCCATATTGCATTTATTTCACTCTGTATAGTTGTCCATTCAGCGAAACTAACACCCGCATTCGCTAAGCTGAAAATGAAATTCAGTGGATCGAACTTAATTCCACCTTCTTTTTCAATTTCAACGAACTCACTAACATGAGATTTTAAATATTCTTTCGTTAAAATTGTTTTCCCCGATGTTATGTCATTAACGAAACTATCACCGTCAAAAGTTAACGAATTCAATTTCGTCGTTGATGCTTTTATTTCATACACCGCTTTATCGATAGTTTTTTGGCTCACCTTCTTTAGAAGCATATGAAACATTAATGAATGAATTATATGTATTCGTGAATGAGTTAAAATCAATGATTTTCATTAATGACGCCTTTAATGATTCATTAACTGTTGAATCCCTTAAAGTAATTAATGAACTGTCGTGGGCTTCGCCCTGGTCGCTTCGGTCTGAAAGACCTTCAGGACTCAAAGAGTCCGTTTGCGACTTTATGAAAGGTACACTGCAAACCGTCGAGTTTGGATCAAATGCTGTAGTTGGTGCAGGAATATTAATGATATAAGTCATTAAATCATTAAGTGACGTAAATAATGTTGTCGTTTTTGATTTAATTTCTTTAGCATCTTATATATGGTAATTTATTTCTGTAGTTTCTGAATTAAAGATATTCGCTAAAATGTTTTGTAAACTGTTTTGAACAGCAGTATAAACCGTTGAATCCGGAACTCTTACGATTTCACCATCCTTATATAAAAGGCATTGTACATGACGTAGTGCTTGGGTCAAATCTTTCGGGATTATAATTCAACATATATTCTAATGCTTCATATACAGACTTATAAACAGTTGTGTCGTTCTTCATGACAACTTCACCATTTACAATGAATGGCATTGTACATGGAGTTTAAAATAGGTCAAACTTTTCATAGTCCTTCCATGTTATGTATTTCTCGGTATTTCCATCACTGTAACAATATATTTGTCAGTAAGTGTGAGAGAGTATTGACCAAAATATAAACGTTTAGCTCTGTCAGCTTCATACGCATATGCAGCAATAGTCATATTTTAATGAGAATAAAATGTTGTTCTATTTGCAAAGTACAGACCCAAACGAATACGGAACAGTAAAGCTACAAACAAACTTAGGTCTTCAGAATGAAGCGCTTGCTTTCAGAATGGTTGACTTCAATACTATCGCAACTTTTGTCATAACAGATGAAACAGATTTCATGGAGTTTGAAATAGATGGAAAGAAGCATGAAATAAGATTTCACAATAATGTAGAATATAAGATGGAAACATTAGCTGGAGTGTTAAATGCGCTCATAAATACTACAATAAACAAGGATAACGAAGAAAACTTAATGAATGTTAAACTTATTGCAGGAGTTTTGAAGTTCAGTTATGCGAAGGAGTTTAAGATAACACGAATGAGTCATAGAGTTCAATTGCTTCTGGGAGCATACCATATGACATTTCCTTTGAAAAGTATTGACAAAACGATTGAGATGAAATCTGTTCCATACGTATGTTATGGCAATTGTTTATACATTGAGTCAAAAATAGCTAATGTCACAGGTATTTCAGGAGTTAATAGTAAAGGTTCAGTAGAATATAAATCCTTCTGTTATGAAGTAAATTCAATGTTCATTCCAAACGTTCCTGTCATAGCAACTCATTTAGGTAAATGGGTTCGCATTTGTCCTCATAATTTGAAAGACATGCAATTCAGACTAGTTGACTTTCAAGGAGAGCCTGTAGAACTGAAGGCACCAGTGCGAATGACTGTTGAAGTTGACTTTTTAGAAAATATTAAATGCAACAGCTTACAAGAGAACTCAGAGCTAAAAATATAAAGTATGAATGTTATGTATTAGGTCATGAACTTTGGTTATTGCTGTTTGATGAAACAAATGAGTTAGTTATGTCAGTCAAGAGAACAGAAAAAGGCGTCAAAGGCGCCGAGCGCAAAGCGCTATATTGTGTTAGTGAAAACTGCACCAAGTCAATAAGATTAGGTTTGCATTATGAAGATGAGTTCGATACTGTTGAAGAAGTTTTGATAGATATTACAAATTGCTTTAATTTACTAAAACATATTTCAAACAAAGCTTATATTCTGTTGAAAGTTTTGTATACTCGTTCGAATATTTATACTTAAACTCAACTCCTGTAGTTCCTGGTGTTTCAATGATGCGGATGTTACCTATTTTCATGAATGGTGGCGTTTGACCACAGCATTCGATTTCAGGGTCGAGATAGTCAATGACACATTGTTTCCCTGTTATTCGTGATATAACATTTTCAAGGTCCTCCTTTGTTAGAATTATTTGGTTCTTACTTATAAGATTTGTCAAAGCTTCTTATCGTCTTTGAGTAAAATTGTTTGGTATAACTGAAGAAGGTAATGGTCTACGTTATCTGAAGGATTTTTTGAACATTTGTGTAGGATTGTCGTTGGCTTCTCTTGAAAGAATTTGTCCAGTGGTGATACTCTAACTTAACATCTGATGTAGCGTTAGCGTTTGAAGCTGAGTTTAAATTCACGGATTTTCAGCTCTGGTTCTGGTTCTTTCAAACACTCTGAACTATAGTTCTTTATGACAATATTGTTTGTCGTTCGTGAGTCAACATTTGATGTTGGTTCAATTGGAACATTTAATCGGCACAGCTAGATGGATTTGCTTCTCATTTCATATAGAATAAAAACCTTTTATATGTATGAAATGAACAATATACTCGACAAGGGTTTGAATGTAAAGCTAACGAATGAAATATTGTTGAATTCACTGAGACAGGAGCTGTGTTATAAAGATGTAGAACTACTGAACAAAAGAGCTAAGGGAAGAAGCAGGAACATGAACAAAGGGTGGAAGCCTATAAAAATTTATGTCAATGATGGCTCAGGAGGTTCAAACATAAAGTATGCAAAAGTTATAGAGTTTATGCTCTCAAGGGAGAGAAGCCTTCATTTAAGAACAGCTATTCTAACACATATCCTCAAAAGCTAACGGATGGGGAAGTGGATGATATGAATGACAGCAAAATATTAACAGAAATGGCGACAGAGATGCATGGAATTTGTTTACCATCAGTCAATTGAAGGTTAAACTTTAAAACAATGTTGGTCGTTCCCATGGAATATTTTGACTTTAATGGTATTAGTCATATGAATCTCAAGGTATGAACGAGGAGAGATGAGAGACTTAATATGCTTCCCAAATTTCTTCAAAAGGTAATGTTATACTGACTGTTTCCAAATGAGTTCAATATCATAGCGTGAAGAAACCTTGAAAGATAACGAAGTCAGTTATGAGACGTTTTATGTTTAAAGCAAGGAAACGCCATGTTTGCATAAGTATTGCTACAGTTAAGTGGTAATGTCTGACTTTAGTTATGATGTTAGCTAATGGTAGTCTGCTTTTGACACTAAACCTTTTCCGGCGAAGTTCGTCACAAACGAGCAGAGTGTTTGAAGGATACTTTTTGAAGGGGTATTTTGAAAGTTTTGATAGAATGTAGTTTGTCAGTCGTTCATATCGTAAACTCCTGAGTATTGACGTAAGTGTGTGTTTGTCAATAATTCTTTCCATCTCCTCAGAAGTCTTTTGCATTCCTGACTGTATGAACTTACAATAGCATAATATTTTCTCTTACGTCGAATGTAACGTTGAAGAAATTCAATGAGTTCGCTATCTGGAACTTTAACGACAGAGGCTTGAACTTTTGACATAAATGTTTTCGCTGTTGAGTCCATAGAGTCTGAAGTTGCTGATATAATGATTTGGTCATATAGAGTCGTTTCCTAAACGCTCTGTTATGAGTATATGACGAATGAGGTTAAATGTCTTACCTGAACCCATCTTTCCACAATAGAAATAAACACCATTTGAACAGAACTCATAGTCCTTACTGAAAGGAAGAATGAGAGAAGAGTTAAGTTTGTCTGTAGTTTCATTCATGTCTTCATCTACGTCATGTATTAAATGCTTCATTTTATCTCCATTAAAAATGCAAGTCAGAAATATTCAGAACATAGCACCGAGTCTAACTGACAAGAGTATAAAGATATACTATGAACACGTTATGATGAAACCTACCAAAATTCAAGAAAGTCAGTATACTTATGAATATCCAAGACACTGGGTAGAGTATGTAGGAGGTGAGAAAGCTATTGAAATCAGACAGGTTCGAAGTATTCCAGCAGGAAGACAATATTATTGAAGAACTTTAATGTTTTGAGTATAATGATGAAACAAAGAAGCAAGATAGTTTTCCTGTTGCTGTGTATGTGAACCTAGACACAGGAGATGACATGAAAGTTTTTAACACAAAGCTTCAAACGGTAGTGAGAGAACAACTGACTGCGGAAGGACATCCATTACCTTCAGAAGTTACCATAGCATATAATTTTGAAACAAACTCAATAGATTTTAAAGTCGTCTCTGCAAAGAAGTCAGGTTTTACATTTAATGAAGCAGATGTATATTCGAATGAAAACTTCAAAGCTATTGCATGGTTAGATAATGACGATTGCTTTAAGAAAATATTTAAATTCAGTGACTCAAAGATGTCAATAGATGACCTTCGTGGAATGTTACCATCGACGTTTACAGTTGAAGGTTCAGCAGGATTGCTTACAAGATTGTCAATTGGTGGTTTGGTCTCGTGAGAACATTGTTATAAAATCCAGTATAAGTGAATTTGCTGAAGAATCTATATTATGTCTTTCAAACTACATGTATTCGCCACCGAAGCATTATAGTATAACAAACTTTGTCAGTAAGTTTAACATAAGACTTGTCGAACCTTCTTCAATGAAAGATGTTGTGCTACCTAAAGATGGAAAGGATGGACTCATTATTGAGATGATTTTAATGCATATTAAATGAGCTTGTTCTTGAAGGTCATTCATGATGAAATAACTGTTGTAGAAGATGTTAGCAATTGTTCAGACATTTTGAAGCGTATAGATGATATAAGAAAGAAGTTTATGAAGCCGCAACGCGGCGAGGACGAAGTCCATGAGAATGTTTATGTTTCATTGACTTTCTCCAGTAACGAGAACTTTTATGAGATAATATTGAAGAGAGATGATTTTAATATGGTGTAAATGGTAGCTTGGGCAGCTTTAGGCGCAATGGGAACAAAAGCATTAGCATTTGGAGCAAAAGCACTTGGGCTTATGACGCAGTAAATAAAATGAGTGGAGGAAGAGTTTCGAAGACATTAGATGCAAATAAAGGAAAGATTGGAGGCTGGGTTGCAAAGAAGTTAAGATTAAATAAAATAGGGCTCATAAATAAAGCATCCAATTTGGTTGCGACTGAGTCAGAAAATGCTTTAGGAAAGGACGATGAGTTTGCAAAACACGCAAAAGACTTTAATGACCAGATGAAAGGTGAAACAATGCATTTAAATAGAGTCGATGGAACTCTTCCTCCACCAGTAGTTCTTCCGTATGGTCCCTATGGAATGTATGGAAACCCTTACGAAAGACCATTTGACCCATTGACTGGTGGAAGTAACTGGTATCATTACGGACGAAGAAGAAAGACAGTCAAGTTGGAGACAGACGTGAAGAAAGCAACTAAAAAGAAACCAAGGAAGAGAGTTATAAAGCAATGAATTCAACGGGTGAAAAAAGAGGTGAAAAAAGAGGTGAGATTTCACCACTTCACCTAAATTTATTTTTGGCTATGTTTTCATACGTGTGAGGGTGGTGATATCATTAATTTTTAAGTTTATTTTTATTTTATTTTTATTTTATTTGGATGTAAATGACGAAAACTATTGAGATAACAAACTACAACGGTCATGAGTTCAAGAATTTGTTCTTCGTTCCTCGTGAAAATACATTCTATCAGATACGAGGGAGAAAGGGTAAAGTTAGTTTGAGCGTTTATGAAGGAATGAAGAATGGAAAGTTTATACAAGCATACGATACAAACGGTAAACGTGTTTCATTAGCTTTGTCAAAACTTACTAACATTTATTTTGACAGTGACTTTGACTCTGACGATTGGAGCGACAGCAGCGATACTGAAGAATATGAACTATTGTGTGAAGCACAGCAATGGGAAGAGTTGCAATACTTTTGTAAGTGAGAACGTTTATTTTTACAGTAGTAAGGTGAAGTGGTTGGCGGCTTTATAAATATTTAAGGTTAAGTTGGTGTTTGTGTTTGTGTTGTAAAATATACGTTAACGGTTTTGTAAAGTGTCAAATTCACAAGTATTGCGTACTAAGGAACGCAGTGCCTCAGTACACGACTTAGGGATACTAACTGAGATCCTATGGATCATCTCACCGCTTAGCGGCTTAAAATTATTTTTATCTTAGTATCGGTTGTAGTCTTTGATAAACTTTTTCTCCTTTATTTAAAACTTCTCTTATCGGGGCAGCTTTTGGTGTTATTGATTCAGCAACGTCACTAATTGCTTCTTTATTCTTAAATATCCAATTTGCTCCCTTCTTCAATGTTTCCCAAACTTTACTCGCTCCTCTTTTTACTTTATTCCACAGTTTCTTAAATATACCTGCAGCCATAGTTGATTATTTCATTAAAATTAAAAATTCATTTTCATCTTTTAATTTTGATTTTTTATTTATTAATAAATGACGACTAACTATTTGGTGCCAAACACTAAACCGATTAATGGAAATGTGTTTCATTCATTCGAAAAGATAAATGAAATATTCGCAAAGAATGATGGTAGAAGATATTATAGAGAACTTGAAAGTTCATGCTATGACTCTGATGCTCCATATTTTGATGATAAACAAACTCATTTAAGAATTACAAATCCGGCTCATGATGTGAACCAATTAGGTGACACATATATTAAACGCAAAGTTAAAGCAACTCTAGTTTCAAATAAAGCTTTCACATGTGATGCCGCTTTTAAATGCATGCGTTTATTCGTTGGTTACAAATCATCAAATCAAAGCTTTAAACAATTAGAAGTAGAAACCGAAAGAGGTGATGCCGGTTATCTTCAGATGGATTGCGCCCGTGAATCTTTCGCATTTGCAACATATAAACCAAAATCAGAAAGGAAAGTTAAAAAGTTTGTTCATTCGTTATATAATAATGTTCAAAAATATGATAACTCAGTATGTGGTAAATATATTGACCCTTCAGAAGTTTTCAAGAACGCAAATGAAGAAGTTGATGTCACTTTTGATATGATTATTCCGGTAAATGATTTGTTAGCATTTCAGGCGTTCGATGATTATCCTAAATCATTTGGTGATATCATTCTTAAATATTATGTTTTCAGGGATACTTTAGTATTTTGTCAGGTTGACCCGTTAAGAGTTGCTGATTTACAAAATTACGTTTATGAAAAGATAACTGATGAAAATTATGAAAAGATTATGAATCATGTTTATAAATATGATCGCAAATTCCAACAAATCGGACTTCCTGCCAAATTAATTACAAGCTTAGCCGCTACATCTGCTGACGCAACAGTTGATGACGTTATTATTTCATGCACAAAGATGGAAGTTTTAGAGGATAAATGCATTACACCAGGATACGGTTTAATTGAAGAATCAGTTAAAGCAATACCACGTTTATTCAGTAAGGAAGATCCATTCATGATTCCAGCTCAACATATTGACGTTCGTTCACTAAATGGAGGTTGCATCACTCCTGAAGGTATCAACTCAGATTTCTCATACGCTCTTCATAATGTTACAGATGTTGTGTTAGCATTTCCGAAGAATGCAATGCAAAGAACAGTTTTAGAAAATCCAATGCTTCGAGGTCTTCAGGTCACTATAGATTCCAGAAACTTCCCCGATCAAGCGATGACCACAGTGGGTGACATATTCTTTACACATATGCTTCAAGCTTCTGATTTAGATGGAGTGAATGAATGCACAGAAGAATACGAGGACTCATTAACTAGACCACTGAATGCAGATGATGGCACGCCATTAGCTAGAACATGGAAAGACCAAACTTCATTCTTATGCACTATTCCAGTTCAACGTGATGGAGCGGGTATATTCTTTGATGGATTAGAAACTTTCAACTCACAAGTTACAGTACAAGTGAAAGCTTATCCAATCATTCAGGGTGAAAATGACACTTACTGTTCAAAGGTGACAAATCCTCCTCAGGTTTGGTTTACTAGGACTACGTATTGGACATGGACACCGGATGAAGGTTTGAAATATCATCCAACAGGTACACCACCACAGTATAGAAGTTCATATGATGAAATATTGATGAATAGAAATGTTTAAAATTATAAATTTATTTTTGATTAAATGGATTTAAATTCATACACTCCTTATGAAGAATTAGCAGGAGTATATAATACATACATAGATGATATGATTAATGAAGCATTGAGTGATAATAGAAATGCTCTATCTAAGGAAAAATTAATGAAAATTCCATATTCTGAATGTTACTTAAATTCAATCACTGCAGCAATTGCGTAAACAGAATAAAGGTAAAACATTAACGATATTAAAAACAAATTATCATTATTGCTAACACTTCCCCCTATTCACATGTGTTAATTTATATCAACCGTTCAGGTTCACCTTCAGATGATACATTTTGAATCTTTAAAGCATTTAATCAAAATTCCAATTTTTATTTATCACAAGAAGAAGCAGAAGATTATTTAAAAAACTTTTTAATGTATAAAGAATATATTAATACAATCAAGAAGCAAGGATTAGAGGATAAAATTATTGATAAACAACGGGATGAATTATTTGAAACACTTTCTATTTCAAATTTTGATAGAGAATTTTTGCATTCACTCATTTTTCTAGATGATGCAGTGAAATCAAAACTAATAACAAATGAGAAATCATATTTTAATCAATTATTAACTCAATGTCGACACATTCAGTGTTCATTCTTCATGGCTGTTCAATACTTCAAAAGCATTAAGCCCCAAACATTAAATCAAATCTATCAACACTTTTCATTTTCAGTGGGTTTAGTCGTCAACAGTTGAACGTTATGCTTTATCAAGTGAATTTACCAATGAGCATTAATGAACTTTACACACAATATCAGCAATTAGGTGAACATGGAAAAATAATAGTTGATTTAAATAAAGGAAGTGTTAAATTTGATTAACTTTTTATAATTAATTTTTTATTTTTATTTATAATTAAACATGACAGAAATAGCAAATCTTCTACAGGTTCCATTAAAACAAGGAACAAACAAAAAGGGTGCATATAATAGAACTATGAAAGTTCCTGATGGAATGAAAGAATTAGTTCATATTGTTGCTGGTCTTCAAAAAGATGTTAAACAAATGAGAAACGTTTTAACATTACCAGAAGCTCAAGCATATGCCAAACGTCAAGGTCCAAATTGGGAAGCACACGAAGCAGACATTACGGGTCCAAATGGAAAACCTGATGGTATAGGGTGTCCAAAGGTGTGTTTAGCACAAACCTGAATACTGCGAATAGAAATAAACAAGTTACATATATATAAAGTTTATTTAAATATAATCACCATTGGATTCAATCACGCGTTCGCAGCGATCGATCCAGGCTTGAAAGACACGCTTTAAATCATCATGAGAAAATTGCTCAAATTGCTCTCTTACAAAATTTTCAAGATCATCTGGACTCGCGAATTCGCGTCCTTCAGCTCTCTTTTTTAGCGTGCCGAATAAATAAAGTCAGAGGGTGCAATATCAGGTGAATAAATTGGGTTTGGAACAACTTTGACATTGTTTTCCACCAAGTAATTCATTACCTTATGACTTTTGTGAACTCTTGAATTATCAAAATGAATTGCAACTTTTGTTTTTGTTGTTTGGATTTCTCAAACTCATCAGAATTGATAATTTGAGTAAGAACATTGTCAATTAGATACTGAGCATTCATCGTATTAGGTTTTGAAGAATATCAATTGCGATGATACCATTCACGCCCCAAAAAAACTGACAACATCATCATTGGTGTGTCAATTTTTTTCTTCCGGAATGTTTGCGGATTTTCATCCTTCGGGATCCACATGATTTTGGCTTCTGTTGCATATTGAAACCAAGACTCGTCCCCTGTTACTAAAAAGCGAAACTTCTTGGATTGATACGCACCCAATATAGAGAGGAGCTCTTTCGAAGATTGGACTCTAGATTTTTTTTTGAACTGAATTAAGGTTGTGCGGAACCCAACGTGTATACGCTAGTTTGTAGTTCAAATAATTGTGCAGATAATAACTGACTGTTGTACGTGGTATCTTTGTCATCTCCTCTATCCTTCTGAGTGATGCTCTTGGGTCTTCATCTAGCGCTTGAAGAATTGCTTTGATTTTTCTTTGATCCGGCGATTTTTTGTCAATTTTTATGATGGGCGCCTTTTTGTTCATGAAGTGATACATCCTAACATGATACGTTACAGTGGAATTGCTAGGAGCATCCATACCGAAGCATTTTACCAATGTCTCGTAGATTTTTTTACAGTCTTTGCATTTTTTTGCAAGAGCGAGGATGTTTTCTTTATGATTCATTAAAAAAATGAAAAAAATCCCGCCAAAATTTCCCGCGAAACCGCCTCTTGTCTCAAAATTCATTTTATATCCCGGCATGGCGCCAAAATACAACTTACTCATCATATACATATATTCATATTTTTTATTATATATTTATAATCAGCATATATCTCCTTTAATAGTCTCATATAGAGCGCTGTGCTAAACGCACCTTTGGACACCCTATATAAATGAAGTTTTCGTTACTGATGGTCAAGGTAATATTAAAGTCATAAATGGTTATAAATTAACTATAACTGATTATCCTAAACGTAAAGCATATAATGAACGTTATCCTATGCAATTTGATGAAAATGGAAAAGCTGTTAAACAATACATTGGAGAAGGTGAATATGGTCCAATTAATTCATACCGTTATAATCCATATTCTTATTTCAATGAAGAATTAAATGCTATTGAAGAGGGACCGGATGGATTACCACGATATTCTAACCAGTTTGATGGTCAATATGCAAATATTAGACCTGAAATTTCAGCTAAGAAATTCTTTAAAGTTGCTTTATTCGATCCAGTTTTCGCAAATGTTAAAGATGAACTTAAACATCAATTCCAACCAATTATAGTAGCAAGAATTGCATCAGGTGCTTTATCTCAAGCATTCAAAGATTTAATTAAGAAACCATTATATCAGCAACGAGGTTTAACTTATGATTTAGTTTAAGGAATCAGATAAAAGAAAATTTGAGAAATCAGATGATTATAAGAATGCAATTAATGAATATATTAGGTCTTTTAATTACAATGAACCAGCTAAAAATCAACTTCATGAACAAATACAGGGAATAATAGATTCAAAACTTCCAGCAAAATAAAAGTTTAAAATATATTTTTTTATTCGATTATAAATGAGAAGACGTTTCACTAGTCAAAAGAACACTAACGCAAAAGCAGAGATTACGGTTGTTATAACGTAAATGATGATAAATCACGAATTATTCAAAATGTTAAAGTTAATGTTAGCCCTGAATTAACAAGGTCAGCAACTCAACCAAATTTATTAACTCGTGACTTACCGAAAAAGGAGGAGGAGCAAAATAAAGAAGATGGAGACCAGTCATTTTATCTGAACCCGGTAAAGAACCTGTTGAAATTCCCACTTATCCAACATACCCAGCACCACTTGATAACCCATATAAAATAGACATTAATTCTGAATTAATGAAAATTTACCGTGATATAATAATTAATAATTATGATTCAATAATAAATTTAATTGACCAATCCGTTTAATTATTTTACCTTATGAATCATTAATTCACATTATCGCCATTCTTTGTGATGTTCAAGATTCAGACGTGAAGATTCAATTTTTCATAGATGATGAGGTTTCATGCTGCGGAACAGTTGCAAAAATAAATCTATAAAGGATATTAGCACAATTAAGATATCAAAGAACGGAACAACAGCTGAACTTCATTTAACATATAATGATATTTATAATAAAATAGTTGATGAATATAAAATATCACTTGAAAAATTTTTTAAGGCTATTTAATATTCAAGCATTAATATTATCGAATAATAATCCTTTGAATCATAATCAATCAATAATTGACCTTTCACCAGTTTCTATCGTTTGTTTATTTCTTTTTGTTCCCCAACTATCCGGATCGTCATTGTAATTGTTTTTTATAGTATCAGCTTTATCTTTAACTTCAATCTTTTTTCCATCGGGATATTTTAAACCAAAAATTCCAAAAATTCGATATTGTCAATCTGTTCATATTTTAATCTATCAATTACATTTTAATACATCTGAAAATCTTATGAAATGGTCATTATATGGGTTTGATTGAACAAATTTGAATGAAGTGAAATATAACCTGTTGATGAATATGACACTGACTCATATTTTCTGAAAACACTAAATTTATAACATGAATGAATTTCTTATTCGTTGAATTTATGAATTCTTGAAGTATAATCTTATTATAGTTTTATTTATCACTGGAAAATAACGCTTTACCATATTTTTAATCGTAATAAAAATGTCAATATCAATATTATTTCGAATAAACTGTGAATTAAATTTAACAGTTAGCGGAATTTATATGTTACTCTCGTTTCTGTGAGTGGTAAATTTAATCCCATTCTTTTAGACCCTTCAGATTATATATCATTTATTAAAGATGACCATGAGCCGCATAGCGGCGAGGTCGTAGACCTTGAAAAAAACGTATGATATGTATATAAATAATGTGATAGCGAAATGGGATATTAACATGATTTAAGTTATTTAAATGAATCATTTATCGTATGGTATGAAGAAAATTTTAAATCAAAACCTGATAAACTTTTTGAACTTGATGAAATAAATAACCTTATTAAATTTCCGCTGAAAATTAAATTTTGTACTCCTATCTTCGTTCATTGTTGGGGATATTAAATTTTGAAAAAGATGTTGGGGATGTTTTGTATTCTGACACTGGTTCCAATTTCATTTTAATCAAATGTGATAAAGTTAATACCCCAATGAGATTTTCACATCAAACATTAGACCCTAACTCTTACCATCAATACAAAACATTTTATCCATCAACTTAAACACATTTTCTTTATCATATCCGTTTCAATTATCCGGGAATTCATTTATTCTTCATTCAAAAGATTTATCAAATATTAAATTTAGAATAACTGACCTATTTGATTGTGATTTAGAATTTATGAATGAAATATTATGGCAATTTCAAATAGAGAAAATAGCTGATGAGATAACGGATTAAATATTTATTTTTAAATCGTAATAAATGATTAAACAACAGCAACTTAAGGTGCAAAGCGCCCAGGTCCTTCAGACCATTACATACGCCATATATGCATATAATTCAAAGACGGCAGAACAAACGCAAAGGTTGAAATATGGAGATTTGGAGATAGTATTGAAAAATGACCATTTCGAATTCGTTTGCAAAGGTGGTGCAGTGATATCAAATATAAAAGAAATTTTATTTATGAATTCAAAAATTAAAGGAATAACGGATGATATAACATCAATTCCACCAGAAGAACAGAGATATTACGCATTAAATGCATTTCCTAAAGTTTTGAAGATTGGAAGATTTAATTTAAATGAGAAATTCATAGAAGGTTTCCTAAATGACATAATGAAGAGGGTGGATAAGGAATATGTGGATAGTGAGTTAATGAAGAAAGCAGATAAGGAATACGTTAATACTGAATTAAATAAGAAGGCAAATTTGGTTTATGTTGATGAAAAAGATAATGAAATTAAAGAAAAGGTTGAATGGTATCATGAATGGACATTGGAGACTTTTAAAGTTAAAGCTGATACAGAATGGGTTTCAGGATGTTTAGACCTTAAAGCAGATAAAACTTATGTTAACGATGAATTAGAGAAGAAAGCAGATAAAACATATGTTAACAATGAGTTAGAGAAGAAAGCAGATAAGGAAAAAGTTATTTCATTCATTAATACTGAGTTAGCAAAGAAAGCTGATATATCATTTGTTAATGAAGAAATAAAACAATCAGAGGTCTATTTTACTCCACCATTTTTAAATTTTATGAAATCATCGGATAAAACCTTTGATATAGATTCTTTTGAATGGATATGTTTCGATGGAGTGACCACTTATTTATTTTATACAGCTGGAGTGCTTTATTATTTTAAAACAAATGATTTTAAAAACTATGAATCATTTACTCCATCTGTTTGGAATCCTGATACACGAAAGCCAATCATTAATCCAAGAATTTTATATGTTGAATATAATAACGGTAAATTTATGGGAATGATAACGGTTGGAGATGATTTTTGCCCTTGTTATTCATTCGATTGTATCCAATGGTTCAAATGTAATTTAAATCAAGATGCTAAATTTAAATATCCAAATAATCCTATTAGATGCGTTAATAATAAATGGGTACTAATTTATGAAGTCAATCAAATTTTCATTAGTGAGGATGGGATAAATTATTATATGTTTAGTATGATGTCATCAGATTTGGAAATTGATTATACAAGTAAATGGTATTACATTAACAGCATGTATTTTATCCTACAAAATGATAAAATTTATAGATCATATTCAATACCATTTGGTCGTTTTGAACAAATTTTTCAAGCTGATGGAGACATTGAAGCTTTATGTTATGCTTCAAATGTTTGTGTTCTTGTTTCAGGTGGTATGGTCTATTCATATCCTGTAAGTTATAACAGACATATTTATTTATCACAGGATTTTTCAGAGGATCCAGAGAAAACACCAAGTTGGGAATTGGTTTATTCATTCACTCCAAAACTTACTCGAAATTATAGATTTACAAATTTATTTTATATTGATGGGTATTTCATTGCTTTTGGATGTGGTAATTTAGTAAATATCAGTAGTGATGGAAGAAATTGGTCTGAAATCACAAAATTTCAAGATGTTAGAAAAGCAATTTTCAAAAATAATACGTTAATATTGATAACAAGACCAGTTTTAATTTCTTACCCAAATTCAATATTATATAATAAATTCAATATTCATAATGGATTAAATACAATTCTTGAGATGATTTACCCCATTGGTTCAATATATACATCAATGAATTCAACAAATCCAGCTGATGTATTCGGTTTCGGTACATGGCAACAAATAACCGATCGTTTCCTCTACTGTGCTAATAGTTCAAAACAAACCGGTGGAAGTAAAACGATTACTGGCGAAAATTTACCTGCTCATAGTCATTATGTTAATTTAAACACTCAAGACTCGGGCTGGCATAGTCATACTTATACTAATTCGTTTGAATATCCTGATGGAAATAATGGATTTCCTAATGGATGGTCTGATAGAGACGCTAGCAGGGGTAAATATTGGTATGGTAATAAAAATAGATGGAATGAAGGATATACTTCAAACGGTTCAGGTACACATTCACATAACGTTTCAGGATATACACAAACGACAGGAAGAGGTACAGATTACATGCCACCTTATATGACGGTTTATGCATGGTTTCGCGTTCAATGAACGCTCAATGTTTGTTTCACAAACTTTAGAACGGCATAATTTAAATTGTTATTTTAGTATAAATGAAGATTCTACCATATGGTGTTATTGGAAGAGATAAAGATGGAAACCCAATATTTGATCCGAAGTTAAAATTAAAGTTACTGACAACAACTTGAAAAGTTGCTGAAACCAAAACAGGATGAAAAAAGAGAAAAATGAGAAAATGAGAAAATGAGAAAATGAGAAAGAAAAAAATTTAAATTATGCAATTTTATTTTTATCATAAATGACAAAATTAATTAAGCCAACTATTTCTAAATTAATGATACCAATGAAATCATTTCATGGAGTACTTATCCCAGGTTCTTCACAATTAGCCGGGGCAAGTGTTGTGGCTCAAGGTGGAACATTAGCGAATCCATTCAAATTAACTAAAGATGAACTTAATAAAATGATGATAAAATAACTGATAACAAAATTTTATTTTTATATAAATGGATACCCCACAAGCTCAAAATTTACCACGAATCATAACAAGGGAGGAAATGATAAAAATGATGCAAGAACGAATTAAAAACAACAAACCACGAAAACCAAGAAGATGCGGTTATGCAGTAATGATGGAAAGAAGAACCCAGAAGGGTTCGGCGTCTCGAAGAGACGTTGTCGAAGAGGAATAAAAATTAAATTTGGATAGAGTTTAAAAATTCATCTTTATTAAATTCATCTCTTCCAATCAATTTATTTATTCTATTAAATTCTTTTATTTTTGCTTCACTCAGTTTAAGGATTGAACGGTAAGTTTCTAATTTTTCGATTATTTCTTTCCTCTCTTTATCGTTTTCAATTACTTTAGTTTTATGGGCATCAGCCCCACCGCATTGCGGCTTCTTTTTGTAATAGCATATTTTTGATTTAATTCTGTTTAGTTTCTTTTTATATTCATTGTCTGGACTCTGAATCTTAATTGAATCAGGACTCTTGGATGCTTTGTTGTCACTCATTTCTTACGAAATAAAAAAATTAAATATTATTTAAATATAATGGAGTAATAAAATAAATCGGAATTTCTATTAATTTATTGTCAACTTCAACTAATGCATTGCCGTTAATATATCTAACAAATTCAGCTATTGTGTCAAATCTTCGTCTTCTTTTTGTCATTGATTTATCAGTTTTTCCATAATCGAGATGAATCAAAACTTTATCCCCTTGTTTAAAATTCATGAGCCCCGAATTAATTTGTTCACGTTTAACATCATTTAACCTTTCCATTTGCTTTCTAATATATTCCCATTCTTTTGAAATATCATTTTTCATTTCCACTGGTTTCATGTTTATAGTTCTATGCCATGTATTATTGTAATAATATACTAACTGCTGTATGATGGAGTCATGATTTCCATCCCAGTATATCTGACCGTTAACCCCTAACGCATCTCTAAGAGTTCTCATTACTGCATCAACTATTTTATTATGAAACGTATATGGAGAGGATGAAAAGTAAAAATTAATTTGTGGGAAATAATGAATCATAGCTGCCTGAAATCCTTTATCACCATCACCCCTTATATTATCTACTCTTTCATGATCTAGTAAGTATTGTATAGCTCTTCTTGTTTCCTGTTCTGTTTTCCCTTTCACCGGAATGCAATATAAATATCTAGTGTTAATGTTAATGGCAAATAAATAAGTAACGTTTCCTTTTGAATATTCCAGATGATCTATTTCGTATGAATATGGATATGGAGCAAATGAAGGGCGACTAAATTTTTCCTTTAACGGTTGAATTTTCGGGTCAGTTGGTTTATTTAATATCTTGAAATCCTTTTTAAAATCTTTTTGCTTCTTTGGTGATTGAAATGGATATAATAAAGTGAATGATGAAGGATTAACTGAAGGAGGAGGTACTGTCGTTGGAGGTTTTGGTGTTGCAAGTGGTTTAATTTTATCTGCTTTGATTTTGGATGATGAAGTTTTAGTTGTTGATTTTCCTTTCATTAATTCTGGATGTATTCTATTCATTTGTTTTAAATATGCTGTATATAAAGGTTTGATATACTTTCCCGCTTCGAGTTTATGTTGAAGGATGAATTCCAAAAGTTGATCTTCATTTAAAAGTCGGGCTGAATATGGTTTAACTAATGAATCATAAATTAAAGCTTGTGCTTCATTTATGGTCTGAAGGACCTCGGCGTTTTGCACCTTTAGCTGTTGAACATTTGCTACTTTAGAGCTCGGCTTTTTCTTCTTTTGTTTTTGTTCCTTTGGTTTTTGCGGCTCAGGATTATATAATTTATATAATTCATCAATATCTTCTTCTGTTAATACTTTATTTTTGAAATCTTTCAACTGTTTAAGTTGTGATTTAGTTTTTCCCTTTGTATATTCATTATTTTTAATTTTGTCTTTAATTTCAGAAATTATTTTATCATGATATTTCAAAATTTCATTTTTATAATACGAATAATAATAATCCATATCATCACCCGTTATATTTTTATTATGTTTTTGGAGATATGATTTTAATTCATAATAATTAAGAAAATTTTGATTAAGTACTAAATCATCAATTAAATTTTCTAAATCTGCGTTATCCATTTATATAAAAATAAAATAAATGTTTTAAGGGTGCCCACCTCTTTGAATCATAGTATCAAAACCATTATTTACATATTGAATCGCATCATTAACGGTTCCTCCTTCTAAAACGGTATCAAATGGTGGAGTCCAGATTTCCTGATGATGATCATAAAATCCAGCAAAATTAACCGTATTATTAGGTAAAATATGAATCTCAGCGGTATAGCTTCTATCTAAATTTGGATGCCTTATATGTATACCATTACTACCCGGATAAAATCTCAAACATTGATTTTGTTGACGCATCAAATTATTGAAATTTCTTTCTTCAGGGGTGAATGTTCTTCTCCGTTGACGTTGTGGTGGTGGTGGTCGTTGTTGCGGCTGTTGATGCTGTGGTGGTGGTCGTTGTTGCGGCTGTTGATGCTGTGGTGGGATTTGAAAAATTCGTTGTGGTTGATTATTTGGAATCTGAAAGTTAAAACCATTTGGTATAAATCGATTTGGTTCCTTTTGTCTCTTCTGTGGCATTTCATTAAAAATAAAATTTTAAATTGTATTAAATAAATGGCATACAACATCCATTTTCACAACATACAGCCTTAGTGTGTGCTCCTGTTAATGCAGTCTTACCGATTGTTAAGCGAGTCATTGACCCGTTTTTAAGTTGTAAATTAATATTCTGACCATCGAAAATAACTTTATCATTTATTATATCCAAATAATTTTTAGGCGTTAATTGTTTATTTTGCCTTAAACTAACACCGTTCATTTTTTGTGCAATCTTTTTAAAATCACTTCCATCAATTGAACCGTTGAATGATGTATAACACTTAGGGCATAAAGCAACCATGTTATCACCTTGTTTCTCAATTGCTAAACCCAATAATTTTTTCTCATGTGCTTTTTCTTCAGCTTTATTCTTTAATTTAGGTTTAAATTTCTCATCAAAACAGAAGAAATCAAAAGGTGCGAATTTGAAAATGTTTTTATCATAAAATTGTTTATCGGTAACAATTGCTTGAAATGCTTGAGTGTTAGGAAGATTTGGGTTGCCAGCGATTGCCCAATAAGATGAATCAGTATCACCTTCAATGAAATGAAAACGATTAACATCCATGCGTTTATACATAAAATCATAAATGAAAACTAAATACCAGTATTTTGCGTTATCTAAAGTGAAGAATGCCTCTTGTAAACATGTATCACATCTATAAAATCTATCTTTAAGCATCACTTGATATGTATCTTCACCTATTTCTCTTATGTTTTTAAACTTATTTGACATACATGCAACGCGTGCCTTCTGTGCATTCATTATTTTAGTCTTTGCGTAATTTTGTGTATTCATTGCATCTTAACCATATGATCCATTAAGTGAAATCTTGCAAAATAAACTTTTTCCTTTATTTCCTTCTAATTCAGCCTTTTGTCTTTCGTTCATAAATTCGTTCGCAAATTCATTAAAGCAAGTGTTTTTAGTAAATGTTAAAATTGATTGAATATCATCGATGATAAAATTAAACCTGTCGATTAGATACCATAGATAATAAGAAGAAAATGGTTGATATTGGTTGTGTGTTGATGCTAACTGAGTTAATTTCCTCTGTTTCTGGTCAACTGGTAGATTGTTTGATTTCATGTAATTATACATAAAACTGCCAATTGTTTTTTCATCTGTGATAATATCTAAGTTTCTTATTATCGGTAAAAAGTTTATGTAATCATTAATGTATTTTTCATCAATGTGACCCTTTACTTCAGCCACGAATAAAGTATTTTTCTTTCTAATAATTCCCAGTGCTTTTGCTTTCTTTGTTGCTGTATCACAAATGATAACACCATTCAATCTTCCCGGCATATACATTTTATGGTCAGTATATTGAATGAAATCATGAGGATTAGATGAAAATGATGAAGGATATAATGAATTAAAGTCAACACCAACGAAATGAGTCATAATGTTGGAAGTGTCCTCATTTGATACAGTTTTAGTTTCTGGACTATATGAAAGTTTATTAATGTGCGTGATTCCTTTAAGATTAACACGATGTTGAACATTTGATAGACCACCAGTAATTCCATTACGGAGAATGTGATAAGCTTCAACTGAATCTAAAGTCATTGGTAAATTATTTTTTAATGCATAATTTCTTAAATTGATTCTTAAACGTTGAACATCTTCATCTTTATTTGATTTTACGACATTGCAATAACAACACATTAACTGACAATTTTCTTTAGTATGTGGTTTTTCATTATCTATTCTATCTAATGTTGGTTTATTAGCATATGTAAACGCTTTACCACACATTTTGCATTTAGATGAAAGGATTAAATCGTGATAGTATTGAAAATCATCCATTGAAACATTATTTTTAGTATCCCTTTCTGCTTTTTCATCTTGTTTCTTATATGATTCAATTTTATATTTCCAATACTTTTTCGTTAATTCAAAACTTGATTCTATCTCTTCCTCAGGATATTTTTCATTAGGATTAAAGTCTTTATATGCTAAAGCGTAACGAATCATTGAAGCATTCGATGATAAAGAAAGATTATGAAGCATATCAATTTTATAAACAAATGTTTCTTCAATAATTTTATCGATTGGGTCAATCATAATTTCAACATCTTTATTGCAATAATGAATAAAATATTCTAATCTATTCTTAAAGTTTTTAGCATCATTGAGATATATTTGATAATCACTATCTGATATAGTTTCTTGGGTTAATGCTGAATAAAATGAATCTTTCGTGAATGGTTCCTCTTTATATAATTCTTCTTCGTAATTCTCCCATGTGATAAATTGATAAGGGAAAAAGGATTTAACACGTGATTTATTGTTTCCGAAATCTTGAGTGAATTGGTCTAATGTCCCACCCGCTATATAATTTCTGATGTCAATAAATCTCAATTCATATGGAGCGTTTGTTTTCTTTACTATGATTTGCTTAAATTGAGAAGAAGAACCCAGCATTGATTTTATTTTCCATTTTGCAGTGTTTAAATCACGAAGAATTAATTTTAAATCAAACTTTCCCGAATTAAAACCTATGATATTCACTTTATTGAATTCCTCATCTAGAAGTTCTTTAAATGCTTCCTTCTGTTTTTAATTTAATGTATGGGACAAAGTCCCTGCCGTTTGCGACTTCAATAATTCATTGTATTGACTCATATTTGATTTAGCAACTAATGAACAGGTTGAAAATAAAAACTCAATCCAATCAGAAATAAAAGAATCACTCGAAGTTAAGCAAAAATTCCTCGTATATGTTTTCTCATTTAATTTAACTGTTGATGATACCATGAATGGTTTTAATTAAGCGTTCAAAGTTGCACACTCAGAAAGTTGTAATTCTTCTTTAGTCTCTAATGTTTCAAAGTCAAAAGTAATATAATATCTTGCCGGTTTATAATATTTCTGCAAATTGTGAGCTAATAACCACTGATATATCTTCTGTTTCGTAATATGTGGTGCATATGGTTGCTGGGTCTTTTGCAATTGAACGTCTTGAATTAATCTTCCATTATTTTCTTTACATTTCTCACAATGCTTTAAAAATCTTCTTTGGTTTTTCCTTTCTGGATCATCGCGGATAGAATAAACTTCTTCTTTACAATATGGACAAACTTTATAGCCGGTGAGTGCTTCAACGTCTGTTATTCTGTCAGCGTGAAGTTTTCCACATGGACTCTGTGTTAATAAAATATTTACTGTTTCAAATTCTGGATCTATCATTATTGATTCCACTAATGGAAAGTCTACCTTATTTATGTCCACGTCTTCTGGTTGAGGATCACAATAATAGAAATCAATATTAACATTTAACATTCTCGCTAATCTCTCACTTTCTGATGAAATGTCAAACCCTTCATATGCATCTATTGCTTCATTTAAATAGCTTCTACGAGTTTTAGGATTAACACCATCAGGAATGTTATAGAAGCGTTTAAATAACCTTCTACCTTCTGCTCTAATTTGATTATCATTCATTTTAGCTGTTCCGTTTTTGTTCATTTATGTAAGAATAAAAAATTAAAAAATAAATAAAAATAAAGTTTATTTTTAAAGTCCGTAAAATGAATTAAGAACACATAAATTTTTATCATCTGCGACGTGACGAATACATTTTAATTTACTCAAGAATGCGTACCCTGATACATTAAATCTAATTCCTGTCTTATTTAATTTCACAACTTTGAAAAGGAATGTATGAATAGCTATAAAATGATAAGAAGATGTTTTATGGGTTGCTTCCATTTTTTCTGAAATAAATGAATAAATATAATGTTTATAAGTTTTCATATCTTTTATGTTCTTAATAACGAATGGTATAGACCTTTTCCACTTCATCTTCCTTCGGTGCTGTTCTTTCATATGAAACAATATTGGTATCTTCAACAATGAAACCACAATCACACAAAATTTTATATGTTCCAATGGTTTCTTTTGATATTTTATCTAATAAATCAAAAACTTTATCAACACCTGTGCATTTATTTAAATAATAATTTGTGTAAATATCATGATCTTCTTTCTTAATCGTATTAGTTGCATATGTCACGTTTTTAAGAGCTTTTTTGAATTTTTCGGAATCTAAAGGTGGTGAAAGTAGGATACAGGGGTATTCTTCATTATCAATAAATTGTAACTTATATTTACGAATAAATTTAGTACCTTCTTCTGAAAGTGTTTCGTCTATTTCACCATCTAATAAATTTTGTGTTGATTCTGAGACATAATTTTTATATCTTTCTTCATGAGATTTCTGAACTTCTGATTCTGAAGCTGGGATATTCATTAAACCCTCTATTTCATTTTCATTATATTTTTCAACTTCTCTTAATTCCTTAATTCTTTCATCTATTTCATCTCTTATTTTTTTCAGTCTTTCAATTTCATTGTATTCATCATCTTTAATCCGTTCTTCATAATATTCGGGGAAAACATCAGGTTCTTTAGGTTTTTCTTCTTCAGATGTAGGATATAAGAAATTTATACCATCATCTTTATTCCTTTTTCCATCATAATCTAAATCATTTAATAACTCGGCAAATTTTTGACAATTTTTTAAATAATATTTATTAACTTCATAACCCACCTCCTCTAATATATCCTTTATTTCCTCGTTTGTGAATCCTAATTTTTTAACGTTGTTAGTTTTGACGCTCATTTCATACAAAATAAAAAAATAAAATAATAAACATAACTAAGTTTTAATTTTTCGTAAGAAGTTTATTTTTTAAAAATTTTTTTATTTTTTATTTCATTATGGTAGTGAATCTTTTATTCATGAAAATAATTATTTCTAATTTCTTTTACTCTCTCGTATATACTAGATTTAAAGAATTCAGAACATTTCCCATAATCTCCTAAATGTTTTCTTATCCCTAACGTGTGCCTGTTATTATATGAAACTGAATAAACTTTATCTTTATCTTTACACCTTTCATCACTTCCAATATATTTATATCTCAGTTTTGATTTAGCATTTTCATATTCATTAACGATTAATAATTCACAGTCTTCCTTTTTAAATTGATGTTTAAGATATTCAGGATTTAATACTCGAGTAGGTGACAAAAGTGCATACTCTTAAATTAACCTTAAATGTTGATTTTTCGATATTTTCGGTATTAACCTTATTGTAAATTTTTCCGGTGATAAATTTATCACACTGAGGTTATTTTTCCGGTGAGATTTTTAACCTTGATTTAATGAAATTAATATATATAAATTTTATTATTTTTAATTTCGAATGAGTATAATAAAATATTTTTTATGTGTTTTTGTTTTTGATGTGATTTGAATTTTGTTAACTCTTTTCAAAATCACTTCATTTTTATGATTTCGGTGGACTTAGAGGAGCTTATTGCTTTTGGTATTAAACAGGAAGTCAAGGGCGGTGTCCCATACAGAAGAAGAACGGGATCTCCAAAGCAATATGTCACTTATTCATGTTCGTATCCCCTATGCAAGGCAAAATTTAGGGTTGAAGAACAAAATGGAGTGTTTACTATAAGCAAAGTTAATGAAGAACATTGCCATCATATAGGAGTTGAAATGGGTTCACATTACGCGAGTAAATTTTATCAAAAATGGATCGAACTTTATATTAAAAACGGTGGAAAGCAATTTCTTGCTCAAAAAGCATTTTTTGATAAGTTCGGAATTGATACGAATAACAAAGAAACGATGAAACTTTTCGCGCAGTCTACTGATGCTTTAAAGCACAAATTTTATCGCCTTGATGAGATTATTGCACAAAGATTATCAAACGATCCTTACACTTCTTTGGAAGCATTTTTGAATAATTTACAGGAAGAGTGCCCAGATGATCTCGTTCAATTTGATTACAATGGAGATTTTTCCGAGTTTACAATCATATATGCACCTTTTGTTGCAAAAGAATTGGTGCATAGCATTGATAACCCTCTCCACGTCGATTCCACTCATTCTTTAATTAAAGGAAAGATCCAATTGTTTGCAGTAACAATGAAAACAAGTCAAAACACAATTTTCCCCTTTTGCTATTTTTTAGTGAACCCTCAGACATCTGAAAAAATTCAAGAATGTTTGGTGAAATTCTGTGAGTTTGCGCACCTGGATCCACAGCATTGGAGCGCTGACTGTGCGCTAAACATTGCTCGCGCAATTGAGGACGGATTTCCTCTTGCGCAGCTCAGTTGGTGCGCTGTGCATGTTTTACGCGCATGTGCAAAAGTTGGAAGCTATTTTGACAATCCACAGAATTTTGAGAACTTCTATTTAGCAATGGACTTTTTGACATTACGTGCAGATGCAACGAATGCAGAAAAGCTGGCTGAAGAGTCTGATGAAACATATGAGTTCTTGACAACAATGTTAGAAGAAGAAGAACCGCGCGCTTTGAAGTATTTCGATAAACAATGGAGAAGAACCAAAGAACATTGGATGATGTTATATCGTGGAGAAGGTGATTCCACGAATAACATTGCGGAATCACACTTTCATCAATTAAAGCAAACATTTTTCTTGGGTAAGAAAAATGAGCGCATTGATGACATCGTCATAACTCTCATCACTGTTGTGATTCCAAATGCGATTATTAAGGTTCAAGTCGCTAATGTTTTGAATGAAGATAGAGCAATAAGAATTCTTACAAGGGCAGGTAATCAGATTGTTGAGCAAAGAGCTTCAAAACACGATGAATGTTTGAAATTAATTCAACACATTTTGGAAATTGTCGAAAGCCGAAGGATTGAACCTAATGTCCTTATTCCATCTTTGAAGGCAATATTAAATTTGGCACAAAGAAGTTTAAAGGAAGAGTAAGCAAGATTAGATAATTTGGACTTTTTTTAAAATTAATGAATAAACAGTATATTTTTGAAGTGTAAGCTTATTTACCTGAAGCTATATTACTTAATATAACATTCAAAGTATTATTGCTATTTATTGGAGAACAAATTTATGTAATTTTCACATGAAAATTGATAAATTTGTATTTCCTTATGATAATCAATTTTTGTATTTGTAGAGAGTCTCCCTGCATGATATCAAGACTTGGCTATAAGTCTTTATCCATTTTTGAAAATTGTATTGTAAATTGTAAGAATTTCTGAATACTACTACTATAAAATATAATTGCTTATCAATGTATATTCTCCCTGCATGATATCAAGACTTGGCTATAAGTCTTTATCCATTTTTGAAAATTGTATTGTAAATTGTAAGAATTTCTGAATACTACTACTATAAAATATAATTGCTTATCAATGTATATTCTCCCTGCATGATATCAAGACTTGGCTATAAGTCTTTATCCATTTTTGAAAATTGTATTGTAAATTGTAAGAATTTCTGAATACTACTACTATAAAATATAATTGCTTATCAATGTATATTCTCCCTGCATGATATCAAGACTTGGCTATTAGTCTTTATCCATTTTTGAAAATTGTATTGTAAATTGTAAGAATTTCTGAATACTACTACTATAAAATATAATTGCTTATCAATGTATATTCTCCCTGCATGATATCAAGACTTGGCTATAAGTCTTTATCCATTTTTGAAAATTGTATTGTAAATTGTAAGAATTTCTGAATACTACTACTATAAAATATAATTGCTTATCAATGTATATTCTCCCTGCATGATATCAAGACTTGGCTATAAGTCTTTATCCATTTTTGAAAATTGTATTGTAAATTGTAAGAATTTCTGAATACTACTACTATAAAATATAATTGCTTATCAATGTATATTCTCCCTGCATGATATCAAGACTTGGCTATAAGTCTCTATTCATTATGAGTATGACCCCATTTTTTTACAAAAAGTGCCGAATTGCAACTTTGTCCCAATCTCTTCCTATCGGAGAGTTTTCACCTCACATATCAGATTATTTCGCCAATCGTAAACATATTATTCGTACATTGTACTACCTAAAAATTTTAACATTCATCCGAAATTGAGTTTTTTTTTCTTTTTCGTGTAAACCGACGAAATTCAGTTATTTTTTGATGGGTCTCTTATTCAGTGAAACATTCAAGAAGTGGTTCGGAAACCGTGAAACACGTGTCCTCATGCTCGGTCTCGATGCTGCAGGCAAGACAACAGTCCTTTATAAGCTTAAGCTTGGTGAACATGTTACAACAATCCCAACAATTGGTTTTAACGTCGAAACAATCGAGTACAAAGGTTTCAATATGAATGTTTGGGATGTCGGTGGCCAGGACAGAATCCGTGCTCTCTGGCGCCACTATTTCCATAATACTCAAGGCCTCATCTTCGTTGTCGATTCTAACGATGTTGGCCGTATCGATGAAGCCCGCGACGAACTCCACAAGCTTCTCGAAGAGGATGAGCTCCGCGATTCAATCCTTCTCGTTTATGCTAACAAGCAAGATCTTCCAAATGCTGTTAAGCCACAAGAACTTGGTAACAGACTTCGCCTTAACACTATTACAAACCGCCCATGGCAAGTTCAGGGCTGCTGCGCTACAACAGGTGATGGCTTATACGAAGGCCTTGACTGGCTTGGTGATCAGATCAACCAGCACTTCTAAACTGGCAGATAATAAAAATTAATAATTCTGTTCAAATGACCTCCTTATTTTTAATTTTTATTTATTTATATTTTCTAAATTTCTCAGTGTCAATATTCAGGCGTTTTACTTTGTTGGCTCAGTATAGATATTAATTGAATTCAAAATAGTTTGAATTAAAAACATCTCATTTTGATTATGAATTAAGAAACAAAGCATGATACTTCATTTTGAACATATATATTATATTGTAAAGAGCATCCTTTCTTTTCTATTTATGATCTCCTCATAATGAAAGTGTTATTTTGGTGTTTCTAATCCCGTCATATTCTTTTATGCTTTTCGTTATAAGCGTTTCTATGCGTAGTAACTAACTTGATCGCTTAATAGCTAACTCAGTTCAATTTCATATAAAATAAAAACTTTTTTTGCATGGAAAACTCTCTCAAACTGAAGCTTCTTGAAGTAATAGCAAAGATTAAGAAACGTCCATCAGCTAAGTGGTTCCTTGATCCTGTAGATACATCATCAGAAGAATATTCCGACTACTTAGAACAAATTAAAACGCCAATGGACTTAAATACATTAGAGAATCAGTTAAAGAATGGAAAGTATAATTCAGTAAATGAATTTAGAGAAGACCTTAGTTTAATATGGAGAAATTGCCAACAGTATTGGCAAGAAGATTCGATAACTACTACTCTTGCAATGGATATCAAGCAATATGCAGAAAATCTTCTTAATTATATAACAGATCGTCCTGATATTGACTGGATTAATAAATTAATGTTTCTTTCAGAACAATTTGCTGATGCTATAAAACCCATTAATGCAGCAAATGTTATAAGTAATAAAAAACGTTCACCATCGTCCCCATGTATAAGGCAATTTGATAAATTTACCCAAGACGACGAAAAAATTACAGAAGATGAATTAATTGAATTACAGAAAGATATACAAAATCTTGACAGTGATGATGAAAAACTATCCCTTCTTGAGTGTATAAGATCCTGCCAACCAAAGCTTGTTGGCCAGAAATTGTCAGTTACTTTGAACTTGAGTAATCTTCAGCCAAGAACAATATTTACTCTCATGGATAAAGTAAATCAGTTGAAGGCTCAACAGGCACGCATGTTTGAAGCATTAGATGCGAAAAAATAATTAATTTTCATAAAATTGTTTGTATTTTTATTATAAAGGAAAGAACGTCCATATAATTTGGAATTCAAACAAACGGAAATCCTTCATGAAATGGATAATTAACAAAATAAGATTTTTTTTTAAATTTTTGAAGAAAATAAGAAGGAATAGTAAAATTTCCTAGGAACTTACTTCCATCTTGAAGTAAGCATGGCTAATTTATAATCATTGAGAATTCAGATTTTGAAATTCAGTGCCGTAATGCATTGTAATTTTATTATATGACAATGGCATTCTTCCAATATTTTGCATCGTATATATCTTTATCCCTTCTCTTATCAGGAAATAAAACATATTCTTTGGAAGATCTGGGTAAAACAAACGCGTCTGAGAGCAATATTGTTGCATGCTAAGATCAGTCATAATGTAAACCTCTCAATTTTATTGTCGTGGGAAGTATCTCAATTCCTTCAAAAAAATTGAAAAACTATTTAATTTTTAAAATATAATACTTTTAATTAGTTAATTAATTGGAGATATTTTTTAAAAAATCACTTTTGATAATACTTTTGAGAACTTTAATTAAAAAAATATATTCAAAAATATCCAGGATATCAAGAGGGAATTGTTCCTTATGAGGTATATAGTTATGATGATATACCTCATAAGGAACAATTCCCTCCTTAAAACGAGAAAACTTGTTCGAAATTGTTTATCATTTCAAACAAGTTTTCTCGTTTTTAATAAGAAACTAAAGGCTATGAGGCACTGATTATATATTAGTGCCTCACAGCCTTTAGTTTCTAATAGATAGCTGGGAAACTTTCTCCAAATGATAAGTTATTCAGAGAAAGTTTCCCAGCTATCAAGAGGGAATTGTTCCTTATGAGGTATATAGTTATGATGTATACCTCATACGGAACAATTCCCTCCTTAAAATCGTAGACATTTTTATTCTTATGAATCAACCATTCAAAATCATATTCCTCTGAAAAGTTATTTTATTAAAAATTTAGAATTTTAATAAATATAGAGTTTGAATTTCATACAATACCTATATATTTTCAATAATGGAATTTGAAAACCATTCTCAAAAGTTCTCAGAAAACCTTTTTTCATTAATTTTAAGAAATCTGAGTATTAAATTAAGTGATAAATTCGTTTGACACTACTTTAATTTTTAAATTCAAAAAATTATATGTGCTTCTTAAAATGACTCAAAAAAATTTTATTATAAAATAATATATAATATTAAAAATCCCACAACATTTTTTTACTTTACATAATCGTACTTCCTCGATGATTAATTTTCACTCAATTTCTATCGTTGACCGAACTTAGCATGCAACAATATTGCATCCTTCTTCATTGCTACTTAACAACATTTATACCCTAACTATTTATTTTTAATTTTCTCCGGGGCGAAATAATGAGAAAGAATTTCATTGGCACTTTTTGTGTAATTCGGTAATGATTAGAGAAGAAGAAGTTACTCCAAAATTTACATTCAAATTCCTACTAGTTGGTGATTCTAATGTTGGAAAAACTTCTCTAGTTCACAGATTTTGCAGAGATGATTTCGATGAGTGCATGACTTCAACAATTTCTGTTGAATTTATGACATCGATCTTAAAAATAGATCAAACACCAATCAAACTACAAATATGGGATACAGCAGGCCAAGAAGAATATAAGTCTCTCGGAAAAGCATACTATAGAAATGCTGTAGGAGTTCTTCTTTGTTTTAGCTTAACCAGCCAAGACTCTTTTTCTCACATAGAAGAATGGTATCAAGATGTGAGAAAACTTTGTAATCCTAACGCTAGAATTGTTTTAGTTGGTACCAAATGCGACCTTGTAAAAGAAAAGAAAGTAGCAGATTCGGAAGCCAAGCAATTTGCGCAAGTTCATGATATCGAATATATGGAAACATCTTCAAAAACTAATACAAATGTTCAAGACTTATTTTATACCATGACACAAGATGTTTTGAAGCTTGTTTTACACGGAGAAATTGACTGCAGAGAGGCAATGCAGGCTTCTGTCCTCAACAACAAACAAACACAACCAAAACGACGCTTTTGTTAATTATTTTTTTTAATAATCCTGCTCTTGTATAAATTATACTTATTAGAAATACTTTCTTACAATATATTTTATTGGACAGTATCACCAACCTGATACAATTTGGATTTTATTTTGTTTCTAAGTCTCATAGATACTATGACTCAGAATAGGAATAGTATCCTATAAAATTGATCATCTGAGTGCTTCTAATGCAAATATTTACTCAAACCAGAATTCTTTTGATTGTGATTTTAAAATTTTGAAATTTCTTACAGCGCTATATTATTGAATCTGCTCGTTTTTATCACTGAAACGCATTTTAATAAATTACCAGTTTCCGAAAAATTCAAGTTTGCACATGGATTTTTTTAAACGGTCACATTTTAATGCTGTTTTTGCTTTTCCTTCTTAGTTTCATTAGTCCCGATCTTAAATCTCGCGTAGCTGGATCTATCAAATGCTATGGATATGATATGCGATCAACTTTATATAAAGTTCTCCGCCAAATTCGTCATTGCGTTATCAGTGTTGTGGAATTCATTTACAAATTGTATTTAAGTTGTATTAAATAACTTATAGTTTACTCTTCAAAGCTAGGCAAAGGAACTAAATCCCAATAATAAAAATTGCTTATCTTTTATAATAAAATTTAGATTTTTAACCATCAAAGTCAAATAAATAGAAGTGCAGGTTATGACATATCAGATCTAATAACAATTCTATAAATTGATCCAAATTACAAATATCATGATACCAAATGATATTACTGAGTTCTAGAGACTATATACTAGCAATGTACATTCGAAACACATCGTAATTTCTTGAGTTAAAAGATATCAGACTCGTGATCAAATTATTTAGTCCAGATTTTACAGTCTCATATAAAAATATGTTCATTGCATAGCTATAGCTACAATTAATAATATTATAATCTGTCGCATTGATTTATTGCAGTTCAAAACTTACATGTTTGAGAATTGCATAGCATTAAACGAAGGTATTATATAGAAAATTATAATTCTTATGATTAAATTGATAGAAGCTCATAGATTTAATGTTTTTTTACTATTAGGATTAAACTTAAATCCAAAAAAACAGGTCACATAAAGCTAGTGCATGCTTAGTGGGCGATTACCCTTTGCTGACATGATGATTGACTATTTTTCGATTTCAATAAAAAAATGTACGTTGTAAATTTTTTGAAACTCGTTATTTTTTTACAAATTTAGATTTTGATGAATGAAGTCGGCAGCAACACACACAATCTTACTGTCCTAGATCTTAAAAATATTGTGAATAACCAAAACTTCGACGAGATGGATAAAAGCGAAGAAAAAAACAATCAATCAACTCAAAATTTTCCAAACTTAGAAAATAATACAAACGAATCAGAACCCAATAACAAGAGAATTCTAACAAGACCTCCTCTTCCTAAAAAAGCCTTTAAAAAAGAAATTAATCAGAATAATAATCTATCAAAGAAAGAAGCATCAACAGTTCGAATATTTCAACCAATTCCTTTTGCATCTTCATTCACCCCAATTAACATCTCCCCAAGAGAATCCGCAAAAAGCCAGATGACACCGATTTTATCAGGATATAATTCAGCTGGAGTTTTAGTCAGAACGCACTCTGATGAGACCATCCCTACAGATCAGGAAGATATTCGACCTCTCGTTGTGTCAGAAGAAAAATTTGATTTAAATCAAGAAGTACAGAGCAATAGCAAGGAAGAAGTCATTGACACTTTACTAGAGACACTTCCTTCTGGTCGCAGACTTGATGTTACTCCTCAGCATGAGGAAGAAGAAGAAAATAAAAAAGAAATTTCCCTTGTTCACGAAACAACAATTGATAACTTATTGCATACGCTTCCTTCAGGACGCCGCCTTGAAGTAACACCGGATGCTTCGGATGATGAAGAAAACAACGAAACTCCTGAAATAAAATCAAGGGAAATTCCAATGGGAGTATTGGCAAACAACATTAAAGAGATACCATCTCATGAATCACCACCTTTAGTTGACTCTCCTGAAATTCAAGAAGAAATTTTTCAAGAAAATTCTGAAGAAGAAGAAATGATTCAAGAAGAAAGCATTGATAATTTATTGGAAACACTTCCAAATACAAAAAGGCCAGAAATTACTCCGAAATCTAATAATGATGAAGAAAACGAAGAAAATAAAGAATCTGTAAATCAAGAAGCTATAGATAATCTCTTAGAGACACTTCCAAACACTAAGAGACCAGATATAACTCCAGAAATCCTTCCTGAAGAACAATCTGAGATAAATGAAGAACATATTAACACAATTTTGGAGACATTACCTTCCGGTAGAAGGCTAGTTGTGACTCCAAGCATGACAGAGGAGGAAGAATCCGAAGAAAAGCCAGTAAATGAAGAAAATATTGATACAATTCTACAAACTTTGCCAGCCAATAGAAGATTAGTTGTTACTCCTGAAATTATTGAAGATAGAGACAACGATGGTGAAATTAGCGAAGATAAAATTGATATCTTGTTAGGAACTTTACAATCAACAAGAAGATTAGACGTAACACCATCAATTGAGCAAGAAGAAGATGAGCAACCATTAATTAATCAAGACAGTATTGACAATCTTCTAAATACGTTATCCTCAAGCCGAAGACTGGATGTAACACCAGAAAATGAACCAAACGATGATCCCGATAGCGAAGAAAACATCGACTCCCTTCCATTTGGACATAATGTTTTAGAGGAAAAAATTGAAGAAGTCGATGAGCAGCAAACAGAAGTCAGAACTCGGGAATTATCCATCAACGACATGAATCTACCCAATGATAGTCAAAACGAACCTACAAAACTCAAAGACCTTGATCTTTCTCATTCACTCAAACAAGTCGATAAAAATTTATCTGAAGACGAAATATTTGTTCATACAGAGACCAAATCCTCCAAAGTTATTTCCCCTCAAGTCAAATCCTCAAACAGGAAAAGTTCTGTATCCGAAGAAGACTCGAGCGATGACGAGCAGAGAGAACAAGACCAGCAGGCCCTGGAGAAGTTCTCCAAAACAGGCAGGCTTCCACCGCTGAAGGACAAAGCGTCGATATTGAGGGAAGTACAGCGAGAGAGAGCGGATGCCATCGAAATAGGAGACTACGACAGAGCTCAGCAGCTCTACGACCTTTCCAAGAAGGTACAGACCGCAATCTACGAGTCAGATATCAAAGAAAGAAAGGAAGAAAAGCGATTTCGACTTGAAGAGCAGCTGGAGAAGGCCAAAGCACAACTTGGCACTGTTAAATACGAAACAAAGAACGTTCTGAGAAGAGCCAGAGAAACAAATGAACAAAGAATCGAAGAAGTAAAAAAGAAACACATTCAAGAACTTGAGGAATTCCAAGAAAAATGGAATAATGAAGATTATCTCAGGAAATTCTCAAAACCAAGCTCAGAATTACTCGCATTAAAGGATCGTGAAAGAAGATTCGCAAGAGCAAAACTATTCAATGATGCAAAAACATTTAGACAGAAAGCAAACCAACAGGAGATCGAAGAAACAAAAACAGCTCAAGAAAGAGCTTATCACAAAATGAAATTTCAGAAAAGTATTTTGTTGCAGAAACAGGCAAAGGAAATGGAGGTAGCAATAGACTCTGCAAATAAAAATTATGAAATAGTTCAGAAAAAGAGGAAAGATATGGAAGATGAGCAAATTAGAAAAATTGAAGCAATCCAAAAGAGAACACAGGATGGCGTTTCGATAAAAATAGGCTATACACCAACAACAGCAAGAGCAATGACTTCAATGAGCGCAACTAGAAAAATTATAGGTTTAAATCGAAACCCCGAGATCCCTAAACTAGAAATAAAGAAACTGGGCGCTGTAACTGCACGTGAAAAACGAAAAATCGAAGTTGGACCAAAAAAGGAAAAGAGCCAATTTCCTTCTTTATAAATTTTGTTTATTTTTTGTTTGAATATATATGTATATAAAGACATTGATCAATATGATTTTATATTCTTTTTTTTTTAAATTTTTGTTCGATAGTAGTATATGTGGAAGGGTTGTGTGACTTTTTTGTAAACGTAAGAATTCTTACAATATTGAACGATTTTGTATCATTTTTTTTTACATATGAAGTAAAAAATGTATGGTTCTTACGGTTTTTATTCTTACGTTTTTGAATAAATCAAGATTAAAAAAATTTTAAAAATTGTAAGACATTTACACTCAGCCCAAATGTAAATCATTAAAAAAATTATTTTATCATCTTTTATAAAAGAAGCTATATATAGATGATGTTGGATATTCCGCGATTAATTAAACATTGTTTAAATCCTGAATGGAATCAATGGAGTCATAAACTTTAAAAATTCATGTCTTACATTTTTGAATAATTTATTTTTTTATTTTGTATGAAATGAGCGTCAAAACTAACGATGTTAAAAAATTAGGATTCACAAATAAGGAAATAAAGGATATATTAGAGGAGGCGGGTTACGAAGTTGATAAATATTATTTAAGAAATTGTCAAAAATTCGCGGAGTTATTAAATGATTTAGATTATGATGGAAAAATGAATAAAGATGATGTTATAAATTTCTTATATCCTACATCTGAAGAAGAAAAACCTAAAGAACCTGATGTTTTCCCTGAATATTATGAAGAACGGATTAAAGATGATGAATACAATGAAATTGAAAGACTGGAAAAAATAAGAGATGAAATAGATGAAAAAATTAAGGAATTAAGAGAAGTTGAAAAATATAATGAAAATGAAGTAGAGGGTTTAATGAATATCCCAGCTTCAGAATCAGCAGTTCAGAAATCTCATGAAGAAAGATATAAAAATTATGTCTCAGAATCAACACAAAATTTATTAGATGGTGAAATAGATGAAACACTTTCAAAAGAAGGTACTAAATTTATTCGTAAACATAAGTTACAATTTATTGATAATGAAGAATACCCTTGTATCTTACTTTCACCACCTTTAGATTCCGAAAAATTCAAAAAAGCTCTTAAAAACGTGACATATGCAACTAATACGATTAAGAAAGAAGATCATGATATTTACACAAATTATTATTTAAATAAATGCACGGGTGTTGATAAAGTTTTTGATTTATTAGATAAAATATCAAAAGAAACCATTGGAACCTATAAAATTTTGTGTGATTGCGGTTTCATTGTTGAAGATACCAATATTGTTTCATATGAAAGAACAGCACCGAAGGAAGATGAAGTGGAAAGGTCTATACCATTCGTTATTAAGAACATAAAAGATATGAAAACTTATAAACATTATATTTATTCATTTATTTCAGAAAAAATGGAAGCAACCCATAAAACATCTTCTCATCATTTTATAGCTATTCATACATTCCTTTTCAAAGTTGTGAAATTAAATAAGACAGGAATTAGATTTAATGTATCAGGGTACGCATTCTTGAGTAAATTAAAATGTATTCGTCACGTCGCAGATGATAAAAATTTATGTGTCCTTAATTCATTTTACGGACTTTAAAAATAAACTTTATTTTTATTTATTTTTTAATTTTTTATTCTTACATAAATGAACAAAAACGGAACAGCTAAAATGAATGATAATCAAATTAGAGCAGAAGGTAGAAGGTTATTTAAACGCTTCTATAACATTCCTGATGGTGTTAATCCTAAAACTCGTAGAAGCTATTTAAATGAAGCAATAGATGCATATGAAGGGTTTGACATTTCATCAGAAAGTGAGAGATTAGCGAGAATGTTAAATGTTAATATTGATTTCTATTATTGTGATCCTCAACCAGAAGACGTGGACATAAATAAGGTAGACTTTCCATTAGTGGAATCAATAATGATAGATCCAGAATTTGAAACAGTAAATATTTTATTAACACAGAGTCCATGTGGAAAACTTCACGCTGACAGAATAACAGACGTTGAAGCACTCACCGGCTATAAAGTTTGTCCATATTGTAAAGAAGAAGTTTATTCTATCCGTGATGATCCAGAAAGGAAAAACCAAAGAAGATTTTTAAAGCATTGTGAGAAATGTAAAGAAAATAATGGAAGATTAATTCAAGACGTTCAATTGCAAAAGACCCAGCAACCATATGCACCACATATTACGAAACAGAAGATATATCAGTGGTTATTAGCTCACAATTTGCAGAAATATTATCAACCGACAAGATATTATATTACTTTTGACTTTGAAACATTAGAGACTAAAGAAGAATTACAACTTTCTGAGTGTGCAACTTTGAATGCTTACTTAAAACCATTCATGGTATCATCAACGGTTAAATTAAACGATAAAACATATACGAGGAATTTTTGCTTAACTTCGAGTGATTCTTTTATTTCTGATTGGATTGAGTTTTTATTTTCAACCTGTTCATTAGTTGCTAAATCAAATATTGAACAATATGAAGAATTATTGAAGCCGCAAACGGTGGGGACTTTGTCTCATACATTAAATGAAAAACAGAAGAAAGCATTTAAAGAACTTCTAGATGAGGAATTCAATAAAGTGAATATCATAGGTTTTAATTCGGGAAAGTTTGATTTAAATTTAATTCTTCGTGATTTAAACACTGCAAAATGGAAAATAAAATCAATGCTGGGTTCATCTTCACAATTTAAGCAAATCATTGTAAAGAAAACAAACGTTCCATATGAATTGAGATTTATTGACATCAGAAATTATATAGCGGGTGGGACATTAGACCAATTCACTCAAGATTTCGGAAACAATAAATCACGTGTTAAATCCTTTTTCCCTTATCAATTTATCACATGGGAGAATTACGAAGAAGAATTATATAAAGAGGAACAATTCACGAAAGATTCATTTTATTCAGCATTAACTCAAGAAACTATATCAGATAGTGATTATCAAATATATCTCAATGATGCTAAAAATTTTAAGAATAGATTAGAATATTTTATTCATTATTGCAATAAAGATGTTGAAATTATGATTGACCCAATCGATAAAATTATTGAAGAAACATTTGTTTATAAAATTGATATGCTTCATAATCTTTCTTTATCATCGAATGCTTCAATGATTCGTTACGCTTTAGCATATAAAGACTTTAATCCTAATGAAAAATATCCTGAGGAAGAGATAGAATCAAGTTTTGAATTAACGAAAAAGTATTGGAAATATAAAATTGAATCATATAAGAAACAAGATGAAAAAGCAGAAAGAGATACTAAAAATAATGTTTCAATGGATGATTTTCAATACTATCACGATTTAATCCTTTCATCTAAATGCAAAATGTGTGGTAAAGCGTTTACATATGCAAATAAACCAACATTGGATAGAATCGATAATGAAAAACCACATACCAAAGAAAATTGTCAGTTAATGTGTTGTTATTGCAATATCGTAAAATCAAATAAAGATGAAGATGTTCAACGTTTAAGAATCAATTTAAGAAATTATGCATTAAAAAATAATTTACCAATGACTTTAGATTCAGTTGAAGCTTATCACATTCTCCGTAATGGAATTACTGGTGGTCTATCAAATGTTCAACATCGTGTTAATCTTAAAGGAATCACGCACATTAATAAACTTTCATATAGTCCAGAAACTAAAACTGTATCAAATGAGGACACCACCAACATTATGACTCATTTTGTTGGTGTTGATTTTAATTCATTATATCCTTCATCATTTTCATCTAATCCTCATGATTTCATTCAATATACTGACCATAAAATGTATATGCCGGGAAGATTGAATGGTGTTATCATTTGTGATACAGCAACAAAGAAAGCAAAAGCACAGGGAATTATTAGAAAGAAAAATACTTTATTCGTGGCTGAAGTAAAGGGTCACATTGATGAAAAATACATTAATGATTACATAAACTTTTTACCGATAATAAGAAACTTAGATATTATCACAGATGAAAAAACAATTGGCAGTTTTATGTATAATTACATGAAATCAAACAATCTACCAGTTGACCAGAAACAGAGAAAATTAACTCAGTTAGCATCAACACACAACCAATATCAACCATTTTCTTCTTATTATCATTGGTATCTAATCGACAGATTTCATTTTATCATCGATGACATTCAATCAATTTTAACATTTACTAAAAACACTTGTTTTAATGAATTTGCGAACGAATTTATGAACGAAAGACAAAAGGCTGAATTAGAAGGAAATAAAGGAAAAAGTTTATTTTGCAAGATTTCGCTTAATGGATCATATGGTTACGATGCAATGAATACACAAAATTACGCAAAGACTAAAATAATGAATGCACAGAAGGCACGCATTGCATGTATGTCAAATAAGTTTAAAAACATAAGAGAAATAGGTGAGGATACGTATCAACTGATGCTCAAAGATAGATTTTATAGATGTGAAACATGTTTACAAGAGGCATTCTTCACTTTAGATAATGCTAAATACTGGTATTTGGTTTTCATTTATGATTTTATGTATAAATGCATGGATGTTAATCGTTTTCATTTCATTGAAGGTGATACTGATTCATCTTATTGGGCAATCGCTGGCGATCCAAATCTTCCTAACACTCAAGCATTTCAAGCAATTGTAACCGATAAACAATTTTATGATAAAAACATTTTCAAATTCGCACCTTTTGATTTCTTTTGTTTTGATGAGAAATTTAAACCTAAATTAAAGAATAAAGCTGAAGAAAAAGCACATGAGAAGAAGTTATTGGGTTTAGCAATTGAGAAACAAGGTGATAACATGGTTGCTTTATGCCCCAAGTGTTATACATCATTCAACGGTTCAATTGATGGAAGTGATTTTAAAAAGATTGCACAAAAAATGAAAGGTGTTAGTTTACGACAAAATAAACAATTAACACCTAAAAATTATTTGGATATAATAAATGATAAAGTGATATTTGATGGTCAGAATATTAATTTACAACTTAAAAACAGGTCAATGA